ATAATAATAATCGTGTATAGGTGCGTTGTATAGTTTCTGCCATTGTTTTACGCGCAGCCGCCGTCGTGTGTAATAATATTTTATTATTTATTTTTTTGTTTTTCGTCGATAAAAAAAAAAAAAAAAAAAAGAACGTTTGTAATATATTTTTTTTTTTTTACTTTTCCGCTGTTATTTAACAATAAATCTTTTGTTGTTGGCGTTCGGACCTCCAGACCACCCCTCGCCGCCGCCCATCATCATGGACGAAAAAGTTCAATTACAACCGCGTACGGGAGAGGAAACGGAAGTGTGCAGTACAAATATATATAAGTATACAATAATGGAACACCCTGGCCCGTTATTTTCATATTACTGTATATAGCGTGTAGTTGTTTTTTTTTTTTTTTCATACACGTCACTCGACTACTATAAGCGTTGTCCTTTTTTATTTTTTATGTTCAGTCCTGTATAACCCTGCCGCAGACTGATATTCGATTAAACGATCCTCCTCCGCGGCAGCGTGCGTCTGTAGGTGACTTAAACGAGTATACGAGCCGACGGGATAAGCCGGCGGTCTTTTGTCGTGACCAATATACGTATATAAACAAACCCACAAGAAAACACTTCACCACATTTGGCGAAACCTCCTCATCTACGGTATTTTATCTCTCCGTATACGTATACATAGATATCGGCAAACGTCACCGGCAGCTCGATCGCTGTCGATAATTGATTAGCTATATCATTTAAACTGTTATCTACCTACGTTTCCTATTTTCCGTTTTCGATTAGACAATATAGAACCCATATTAAATGCGTAGGCTGGTACTCGTATACGTAGTTGAATATGTAATTTTCACTTCGAGTGTAGTAAACAATGGTACAATATTTGAGTACTGGTAAAAATTAAAACTCATATGCCCAAATAATTAGGAAAATGAGTTTTAAAAATCGTTTCACGGGATTTTTGAAGACTTTTCCGATTTTGCAATCAAACTATTTCAAAACACATAATTGCAGATCTGTATTTAATCGGAAAGTTGTGGAAAACGAATAAGGTACAGTGGGTCATGTGAGTTTATTGATACTGAACCCTATTAAACCCCTGTCAATAATCACATGATCAATAATATAAAGACATCCATTTTAATTATTATCGAAACGTAGATGTTCCTCGCAGTAGAATCAATAATTACATATTGCAAACTTCAACGCGGACAAAAATACTTAATATTTGTCTGTGTTGTATATTTAAAGGTAGTGAAATGGCAAAAAATATTATTTATGAACACGCACAATTGTCATCAAATACAGATGTTTTATTTTGACAGAGAAAAATTTAATTACACCATTTTAAAACGATTTATAAAATGTACTATACAATTACTATTAAACAGGTGCAACAGATGACTCGAGGTTCGTAATATACTGTAATATGCATGACAAACTATTATATATACTATTAGCATATACCTCCCCTTTCCAACAAAAAATATATACATATAAACCTATTTATTAAGATATTAAGTATCAAAAAACAAATCTTTCTAGACAATATAATTATTTTGAATTATATTTAATTTTACTCACTCTACACGTATATTATTGGTAAAATGTATAAGATATTATGCTTAGAAAAAATAAAATAACTCCAGTAACTCGTAATAAAAGCCACACGAGTATGTCTTAGGCCCTAGCTAGTGAACTGCGGGCGTATAAAAACTCCTCTTAACCTAATGGAACAAAAAGGTCTGTGGCGATTTTTTGTAATTCTATTGTTCCCTAAGATTTATCATTGTTATGCATGCTGACCAATGTATTGTTTGTCATTGCTAACCACCTATTAAGTGTTGTTAAATTTGTATTTACCAATTAATAAAATTAAAAAATAGCTGATACGGCTGATGGGTGCACCACTATTATAGAGGGCATGTTGGTAAGGTAGAATACATAAAGTTATTAAATTTATATGTGTGTAAACAACAATAAACCGCTGCTAACGATAAACGATTCTGAGCAAAGTTTGCTTAAACAAAATTTGTAAAATCGCAATATTTCCGTAAACTTTCCCGTTTCTTTTTTAAGTTTTTTTTTGGTTTTACTCACTTATCAAATAAACTACGAACAAAATCGAAAAACCACATTTCAAAATGCAACCGAAAAGGTCTTTTGTCATTTTTCATAAGGAACAATATGATAGAAAAAACACGAAACAAAGGAATTTAAAATAATAAAACCGTGTGCTGTAAATTTGTTTGGTTTCATTTTCCGTCTCTTTTCGGGGTTTTCCCAATAATTATGAAAAATACCGGGGAAATCAAATAATAAATTACATATTCAGCAACAAGGGAGTCTAAATCCAATGGCAATCTTAATCGAAACCGCGTTGCATCGAATCTGCCGCGAAGCAATGGTATTGTGTAGCAGACACGGCGAGAGCTAATAATAAACAGTCGGCGAGAGTGCGCGGCGACGGCCCGAGGTGGTTCCACCCGAAAACCGTTCCCGTGGCGGAAAGCCTATTCCATGTAATCGAATCATGACAAAATATTATATCTCCGACCTTTCCTAGCCAACCTCGCCTCTCTCCCTGTTAACCCGGCATCGAGTAAATAATACGACGTGATATATGGGTATACACATAATGGGAACGCGTGTTTTGCACGCGTCCGGAACGGTGGTAAAATCAACGGTAACGGGGGATGCGGAGGGCAGGGAGTGCACAGGAAGAGCCGAAGTCGTATCGACGACGACGCCCGAAATTATTAAATCACAAACAGAAGGACTTGATCCCTTCTCGTGCTGCCGTCTACTACACCATCGTCGCCTTCGCTCGCCGAGTGTATTAATATAATAAGGCGATGGGAACACCGCTATATACGTATGTGTGTATAGATATATTTGTACGGAGGAGGATATGCCGGAATAAATTATCATATTTTGATTGCATTAATTAAAATTACCGGCTCTTCGTGTGCGCGTGTGTGTAGGTTAGGTACTTATATATATATATACATATAATAGGTAAAGGTACTCGCACCTCGTGGGCAACCTCATCGTCGTCGTCGCGAAATTATTCTCCTTGTATTCTCGCCGACTCTAAAACCGATGTTGAACTGCGTTCGCATTATAATACATCGAATTAAAACAAATATATATATATATATACATATTATACGCTCGGATACCACGACCACGGTAACCGCCAGACTATAATACGTTCTGCAGACTGAACTCCGCCGCCGCGATATATAGTATCCCTTTGTTCTACCCTATATACGCGCGCGCACGTTGTTTTCATTAGGTTAGGTTATAGGTTACCGAGAGCACAAATAAACAAGCGTGTCGGATGAAAATTAATTTTCGCCGTCACCACGCGTCATCGTAATGGTTCCACCTGGACATGGAACAAAATATGCACCTACCTCTTATTATAATACATAACAATAATATCATGGAACAAACACGATGTCTTGTTTTAATCACGAACCAAGAGAATTTGAAACGGCAACGGAACCCATATCTACGGTCGAGTTTCGATATAGTATGTAGTTTTCGTAGTGGGTGTAAACGTGAGTGCATCGCTACCTGTTAAACGGAGTCCTCAACTCACCGTGTCGTTTCGTTTAGTGTGAAATACTTTTTTCTGATCGGCTCATATTGTCATGGTAAATACATTTTGATCGTGTCTACTAAGACGTTACCGCGGATACCGCAGAGTTGAATAAATTCAACATTTGGACGTGTTGGTTATAGATGGTAGCGTCATTTCCGTGTTTTAATAATAAATTAAATTAGTATTAAAATATTAATTTTTTAACAATTTAATTTAAAATTAAAATTAAATGTGAATTAATATGTAATTTGAATACTAGTTTTAATTAAATATGATCTTTGTGAGGGTATATAATATCTAATGTTGTAAACTTAAATGTTCATCTTTTTAGGGATGGATATGCACTTTATGCAAACAATTTGTTACTTATGATATAAAATCAAAAACTTGTACTAGTAAGTACAATACCAAGTAATTTTAATATAGTTTGTACAATTGATTTTAAAATCAATACTTATTAGTAGAATGTAACTATTAAAAATAGCAACGTATTAGTAACTAAAATTAAGTAAAATAATTTTGGTGTTTTTATTATTATTATTAGTTAATCGTATAACACAAGTAAACTATATTAATAAAGTGGATGCTGTTTAAATAAATATTCAATGGCATCACCTTTTTTTTTTTGATTGAAAATAGTATGAATAATAAAAAATCTGAAGAAAGTGTAAAGACGGTGAAATATTGATGGGGAAATAATAATGAATATTCAAAAATAATAAAATACAATAATGATATTATATTTAAGAAAAAGAGGCGGTAATAATTACCGCCCATTTTTAGTGAATGGTAAATGAATAGCGATAACAAGTTGCCAACAATGTTGGTAGAACGACGGGTATAAATTATTTCGTGCAATAAAAAAGGAACGTGTCGTGTTCAATGCTCACGAAACGAAACGACACGGCTAGTTGAGGACTCCCACCCCTTTAGTAAAAAATAATGATTATTAACTCAATTAATAACATGTAAAATGTAGCAGCAGCGTTCGTGTGTCAGCGTTGACAAAAAATTAAATACATTATGTCAAATCAGAAAAACGCCGTTAAAATCGTTGGAAATCATAGGTCTGCAACGAACCACTGATCCCCGTATATAAACTAACCTAACCTAACCTTGTCTGTTATCGTTTCCGGTCCGTATCGTTGGAAATCATAGGTCTGCAACGAACCACTGATCCCCGTATATAAACTAATCTAATCTAACCTTGTCTGTTATCGTTTCCGGTCCATATTACCATGATTTTAACAGTATAGCATATAGATAATAAAATAATATGTAGAACATGTACGATTGGGTTGATGGCTGTTTTCTCAATGAACACTGTCTAGTCGCCATTTCCATGCGTATTTGTATATTATAATACGATTTATGGCCTCACTTATTCGGCTGTATAGTAATCAGGCAAACGAGCGAGAATATAAACAAACCTGATCACTAGTTGTTATCATTCCAGGGCCTACGGCAAAATTAAAGTGGCGTTCACAGGTGGCGATATACGATGCCCTGTCCAGGTCTTTATAAGGATTGTGTAGGTAAACATCGTATTAACATAACGCTTGGGTGGTTTTTAACACCATAGTTACAATATGATAATAAAACGATTTTCCAAGAAATGAAAAAAAAAAAAATAAATCCGAATTCAATAGAAAAAGCTACAGTTTTTCTATATAATATGCAAATCACATATTATTAAACGGATAAAGAACTAAATCAAACAACTGTTTATTTTTTTATTTAACACTAGTAAATAGTATAACAGCGTTGTGTTAAGTACAACAACAATAGCATTAGATAATGGTTAAATATAAGATATTAAATGTTCCACTCCACGTTGCCCATGCCATTTTTTTTTTTAATTTTTTTATCCATATTCCTTCTTAGTTTTAAACGTGTTATTATTAAATGAAAACAAATAGGTGAAAAGTGGGTTGTTCACATTTGGCAGACTAAAAGTATTCTGTTATGACATTTCTTCATGATTTTCATGCCAAAAATATCCAAACACAATATTTCAAATTTAATTTCTCGCTTTGCCAAATAATCAAGAAAAGAAAAAATGAGATTCCATAAATACGTTTTTGATCGTGGACACCCCTCACTCAATATAATATATAGTTTTTTCTTTCAATCCAAGTCACCAGCATTTTAAATTTATTTGTATTTCATCCGTGTTACTGAGATTGTCCATGAAAATAAATAAATGATACCTTTACACTTTTACATGCGTATTTGCTGATTAGTTTAAAAAAGTAATTTTTAATCTATAAACTTAAATAATTATGTTTTTAATTCTGAATGAAGTGAGGAATGTACAGTTGGTTTTACTAGCATATGTTTTCTTTTGTCTGTAAACAACTTGTTTACTAAAAATAAAAATAAAAAATAGAAAAAACTGACAATTTTGTATTTAGTTTATAACAGTATGTTAATTTACGGGTTACCAATAAGTGTATGAGCAATGAGCGTATCAATACGGTGGCAATAAGGGGACAGATACGACTAAGAATACTCGTGTTAAGAATAGTTTTTATTAGAAAGAGTTTGTCGTTACGTACAAAAATTAATTTAATTACTCTATATTATATCCTCTCGTTTAACTGCTCTCCGAAAATAGTTGCGAACCCATCAGGAGTATTAGCCTTCTCGCATTCTCTACAGCATTGTTTTGGTTTTGTTTGTTTTCATTATTTCTATACATGAAACTGCTAGAATCCTATAGATGTTCTACGAACTCGGGTCAGTATATTAGATATACCCAGTATATTGGATATATTCAAACAGCGATAGTTTTCCCTTAAAACATAATCGTCTATACGTGCATGGCCGGAAAAAAACAAGTGTACTGCTGCAGCAAGAGTCCTCCACTCTGCACCGCAACATTTTCGTATCACATAATTTATCATAATATAGCTCACGAACTGTAATACGTCGTTTATACGCGCGGATCGTATAAGTACGATAAGGCGTATCGACGATCGTAAATTTCCGTTGTAAATAGAACGCGGATCGTGACGTGCCCGCAGAAACGCAGCCGTCCCCGAAAAACATTAAAGTAGATTTCTCGCGGCCTCGGTAAATAATAATATTTATCTTATTGTCTCGAAAATTCGTCGTCGTCATCTGCTGAGATAAAACAGTAAAACCGAGTAACGTAAACCGTTTATAAACGGGATTTGCAAAAAATACGCGGTTCTATTTTCTCACACGGTTTTGTTCTCTGAACATAGGACGAAAATCGTTGGAACAATACGTATTTTTATAACCGTTTTGCGTAAGTATCGCTACGTTCAAAATAAGGTATTTTCTATTCGTTTGAAAATCAAATGTCGATATGATGCGTATTGTTTATGGACGGCTGTACGGATAAAATGTGTGTACATATTGTAAATTAACCTCGATTCTGCAGCGAATGTCTAAAAAGATAATACATAATTCTCATTCACTCAAAATATTTATACTAATGTTAAGTAGATTGTATCATCCAGAGCAGTCTATGGCTATGTAGAGAACTCTTGGGCACACAGAGTTTAGGTTTCCTTTAGAAACCAAAACGAACTTGAATGAAAATGTCAAAATGTACTTTTGTTGACATTATTCTTTTGAAACACTAATACGTACCTACTGAGAAAACAACATCATGTTTACCCTTTAAGTATAATACCTATTTTATAAGTATATAGGATTTTACAAACGGTATATTTGTTTAATCTTTAGGGCTAAAAATTTAATTAATAATAACAAAAAAAAAATAATAATAATAATAAGTTAACTCGCAATAACAAGTTTAAAAAAACTCTTAAGAATAATACTTCAGCACAAACTAGGAACTCTGGCGGCCGTACGGTTATTATTTCACATTACCGATTTCCAGATTATAACAAATATTTGGGTTTTAGAGCGGTATTTTCAAATCTATTTGCTTGGAAACTTTGTACATACGTTTCACGAATATCGAATGTAAACCATATTTTATCGATATCAATATAAAAGTAATATTAAATAACTCGTAGTCTCCGTCCAAACAAAATAAAAAAAGTTCTTCTACACTACTGTTCTAAAAACGTTCTAGTATGTCACGATAAAAATTTAACTAGAAATTAAATTTATCCAAAACAAAATGTCTCGGCGTTCATCTGTCGTAAATCGCTATTGGTATGAAACTGATCGGGAAACAAGGATTTTGTCTACATTTTTTAGATTGGCGTGACCTTTTTTTGTTTTTGTTAATATCGAGTTTGTTGTTATCAAAATCGTGAGTACTGTACCCGTCCCCAAACTCACGTCCCTATTGACTGTATAATTAAGACCAAACCATTTTGTTCCGACCGATACAAGTGCCGTGGGCCATTATAAACGATGCGACATTCGGCAGCAATACACGTGTATTGTACAAGATATCGAATCGGATTGATTGAAACCCAAGAAATATTATTCGATTACACCACGAGTTTTGACGTGACGGTTGAAAAACCGAGGCAGGCAATCGACTTGATAGAAGCGTATTTCAAACATTTTTCATATCCATCACAGTTGTATTGTTCGCGGCGTAATTATCGACGTGAACAAATACAAATTCACGAGGAAAATTCAAAACGAAATGTCCCCTTTTGGGTTGGACCATAATATTGATGGATACCGGGCTTTCGCCATTAATTACTCATACGTTTATCAGACTATCTAGGAATAGAGTTGTTTTGTATAATCGTACCTGCGATCGGTATATTATAAAAAAAAAAAAAAATGACCGTGTACGTGCATATCTATATATAATACACTCTGCGTAATTAACATTGTTGTTCGCTATTCAATTAGCGTTTTAAAACGTGCATGTATGTACGTACACCCACGTGTTTTATAGCATATCCATTATTGCGGTTTGACGTTTTGCGTGTTTCGTTTGTTTCGGATTTTTGCGCGGGGTTGATAGTAACTGTCTATTGTAGTTATTATTTGGAACAACGTATGCGTACGCGGTGCACTGCAAACGTACGCTATCTGCAATTTAATTAAAATAATAACAATAATCGGAGCGATGCATTCCGTTGCCGAGTCACATGTACGGAATAAACGATACGATACGAAAGTTAATAGTTTTTGTTGTTTTTTTTTTTTTGTTTTCGTGACGCGTGTTACGTAATCAGCATCGTCGTTTAAATCAAACTGTCATTACGGTTTTCTATACACGGATAACTCTTTTACAATACCTAATATATTATACACTAAAACTTCCACATAACGGTCACCAGAGGGACCAGAAATAACGAACGCTATTTAGAGGTGATCGTTAGCGGAATGTTTTTTTTTTTTTTTTTTTGTAGATTTTCAGTAAAACGACGAATTGTTTTTACTTTTAGCTATTTTTTTCTCCGTGTCTATAAAAAATTTGTTAACCGGAAATTTTACTTGAGTTTAAGACTTAATGTGAACTTCTTCTTTGTAGAGTTGTTGATGGAATAATTGCATTAAAGGGTTTTTTTTTCAATACTTTTGTTGCAGTTTTCCTAATAAATGAGAAAAACTGGACATTTTTCTTGTAAATTTTGTTGATTTCCGGGTCACTTCGACAACAACGGGAAAAAACACGAATAACCATACTCCGAGCAGAATCGTTTTTCATTAGTATTTAATTTGATTTTTGTATGCAGATATGAATTAAATTACTCATATATTTATATAGACAGTCCAGTACTTTTGCGATTTCCCTCTCAAATCACCTATCAGCAGTATCAGCCTTTTTATCCGCGACTTACGGATCGGCGTCGTCGTTTAAACCGAAACGCCATCATCCGAATTCGGAAAAATCTTTTATAATAATATTATATAGAGTTTTATTATTATTATTATTATTATTATTGGCGGACATTATTGATCGCGCGTTCGGTAGGTGCACATTCGTTGTTCGACTATTTTTTTTTTTTTTTTTTTTTTAATTATTTATCTCCTATACATATACGTACTAACCTACACGTCATTGTTCTCGTCGTATTCTTCCGATTCTCGTGTATTATTATTATTATTATTATACGGATTCATCGTATATAATGCCGTCATCATACAATATTATATCCGAACCTTTGTGAATCGCTCGGGGTTTTTATTTTCTTTTATTATTTGTTCGAAATATAAAATGTATTAAAAACGGAGGGAGGGGGAGCAAGATTGGATCTAGGTATAATATACCCATAAGCTTTTTTATTTATACATGTATGTTTTTTTTTTTTTCATACGGTAGTAAAGTTTTATAACTTTCCGCGCCCGCACCGTCGACGACGACGTTTCTGGTAAGCCAAGATTAATAGACCCGCCGCGTCACTACGAGTCGCTCCAGTTCGAATGTTTTCGCCCAGCTTGTCATTTCGGCTTCGTAGAACCGACCTATTGGGTTTTCAGTGACCTTTATATCGTGTGCATAATATATAATAATAAACAGTTATTCGAAGGCCCATTGATCGATGAAAGGCCATCTATTACTATTAAGGCTGCGAGTTTGTAAGAAAGTGCGTATTTGTTTAACGTAATATCGTGAACCGTAATGTTATTATCTCAACACGCAATTTTAAATAATGTAAAACAACGAATTTATCTGTGCATTCAAGTGGTTTTTTTATTTTTTTACCTTTTTAAA